GACATAAATTTTAGTGCAACTTTTAAAATTCATTAAAAATCCAATTTTAATTGGAATATGAGCTCACAACATAACAGTAAACATGTAAAAGTACATGTATCAGCAATTGTACAGGTTCCAGTGTGCGTGGTGTGTGTGTTAGTGGCTCATTTAGGCTCACTACAGCATTAGCTGTAACAGTTAGAATAGGCCATTAATGACAGCTGCTATGCATTTAAATTGCCATTATATTTAATTAAAAATTCAAAAAATTTTTCAAAAAATTAAAATCAGCAAATGTCTAAAGATTCAAGAAAGAATCATTGTTTGTGTCTTATAAATCTCTTGCTTCATGAGTATTGCATCACTTGACATTTCATTTTTATTCCAACTTGAACTTATCAATGATGGTATTAAGATTTGCTATGAGTAGTTGCTGTTAGTACAGTCAGGGATATAATAGACTAACGTAACCGGGATTGGTTACGGACCAGAAATCAATTATCAGACTCTGTTATTATTCATTAAATTAATGGCAGCAATCAATGGCATCTTAGCAAAATGGCTGAATGTAAATTGTTATAACTAAAAAACCAGCAACAGGAAAAATTCAAAAACAACTTTAAACAATGTAAAAACATGTAAAGGGTCTCTTTATTGTAGTTTCTTAGCAATAGAATGTAGTCTATTCTCCTGAGAGGTACGCAAAAGTCGTACCATGGCAAACTGGTTTTTCTTGAATATTTCCTGAAGAACACTCTGGAGAAACAAGAGAAGTTGCCTAAACAATGTAATAAAGTAAGTGGCAACATTTCATGACAAAAACACATTCATAGAAACAAATATTTGGGCTACAGAGGTACGCAAATGGAATTTTAGCCGTAAATTGAAGATTTAAACAATTTAAAACAAATATTAACTTACAATAACCTATCAGAACCTTGAAGCCGCCATTATAACTTTGCAGTAGATTTTTCATAAAGCTAAATGCATTTTTAAAAGAGAAAAGAGCAACTTCATACTCCAGACATTGACAGTCGCCATCTTGAAAATCATAACAGAGACTGCAAAAAGTTTTTATACACAAATGATGCGCTCACGTGATCCCGTTGCCAATCCCGGTTACGTTAGTCTATTATATCCCTGGTACAGTCTTGTTATATTCTTCTTGTATGTAGTGCTCTTAGCATCACTAGCAGTAGTAGCCACTAGTGATCCCAGGCAGTGTCACTTGGAGGCGACACTACATTGCTGCCCAACCTGTAATGATAATTAACAATATATATTGATACTAACTGAATGGACTTGATTCTTTAACAGGAACTTGGTACTGAAACCTTAACAAAGAAAGGTTAATACAAGACACTATTGATACTATACTGTAAGATCTTGAGTCTTTCAAACAGGAACATGGTGTTGATGTGTAGACGATGATAACCTTACCTGAAGCAACCAAGAGTATGTATCTCTTGATATAACCTAACTATGTATATATGGGTATGTATGGGCCACCTTATGAGTGCACTCATTATATTAGGGGAACATAAATTGGGTCACCTGTATGAGGAACATGTATGAATTGGGTCACCTATAAGAGGTACATGTATGAATTGGGTCACCTATATGAGGTACATGTATGAATTGGGTCCCCTATATGAGGAACATGTATGAATTGGGTCACCTATATGAGGAACATGTATGAATTGGGTCCCCTATATGAGGAACATGTATGAATTGGGTCACCTATATGAGGAACATGTATGAATTGGGTCTCCTATATGAGGAACATGTATATGCAAAAAAAAATGAAGTTTAAAAGATGGATAAAATGATACCATCCATTCCATTGTGAGGACAGTCAAAAGGATCAGTAATAAATCCATGGAAAGAGAGAGAAAGAAAGGATAACTATAAGACACAAAAATTAGAATAACTACACCAAAGCCATTAGAGCAGTGACACCATCCAAATAAATATATTCATAACCTACATGTGTATATTGATACATAGAGGTAAGACATAAATAACCACCAAAGACTGCAGAGTGCAATAGCAAATGAAGCTAGAGGGAGAAAGGAAGTTATAAATTATATAAGAATACTACAAAAGGTTATCAACCTTGCAATATGTTCCTTGCTCCGTTGACCAAACTATAGGAATAAATTATAACAATTATTAAAATAATTTTGGCCTATTTTTGATTATCTATTTGAGACTGATAATGATCATTATTTGAATGTAAATAATTAACCTTATTTAAATTACTTATCAATAATTAATACAAGAGACTGCAAAGATAAATCAGCAGCAACTTATAATTTAAAAGTATTTCAACGAACATAACTTGATTGATAAAAATAAATCGCTAAAAATTACAACCAACTAATTGAAGAGATTGTCTGGTCCTCATATTGTGGATGATGGATGTCCTTCTTGAAATGAGACTTGAAGAGGATGAGGAGGAGTAGATGGGCCAGTATAACCAGGGGGAAGAGGCGTGTCGTCTTCTGGTTCAAACACTGGCTCAAATAACCTGCTGCTGATAACATCACAGTCCTCATCCTCTTCTAGTGATAATAGAGGCTAAAGAGAGAGAGAATAATGAATGGGAATGAGTACTGTCTATCTGGAAATTTTTACTGTGATTTAAATTTTACTGGATTAGAATTTCGCAAAAAATTAGATTACCCATATAATTACATGCCACATTCAATAATACATGACACAGTCTTATATGGGCTCCTGGTCTTATTTAGTAAAAATTAAATCACAGCACAATTTTAAACCGCAAAAATTTCCTACCACACTAATTTCCTGATCTACGGTATATCAATATACTTATTGTGTGTGCATGTACTCATGTTAAAGAATATAGCAAGGGGTCTTTGATACATGTACTCAAGTTAAAGGGGCCTTCAATAAGACTCCCAATCTTTAAGGACTATGCTCTGCCTTTATAAACCATGCAATAGGAAAAGGCTATTGTGGGTTGCCCCTATAATCATATTCACTGCATACCTTTAGGTACAAGTACATGTACAATATCAGGAAATACCACACTATGTATCGGTACCTAAGTACAGTACTATGGTAATGCTAAGGTTTGACTGTTTGGGATATTACAAAATGTCCCTGACCCATCTTGTTGTCAAAATGGCTACAAAGGAACAATGGTAGGTTCCACTGTATAACTCACTGTAAGATCAACTCTTTGATTGATCCTATTCTGGAGTACCCAGCTGCTCTGTGTTTCAAAAGCATGTCTCATCTGTCCATCAGTTCTATCACAAGATCTATGAAGACATTTTCTCCATAAGCTCTTGACATCACACTATAAGCGGGAGAGAAGGAGGAAGAGAATATGTATAGGTACAAATGCTTACCAGCCAGTGGAACGCACAAACTCCTGGTATCCAAATAATTAAACTGATTAACAAGACACAACCAACAATATTCTCTTGTAGAAATAAAGCTATCAACAAACAATGGAGGATCATCTTAATGTATATACAATATAGTCCTTCTCTCCCTCCCCCCTCTCTCTCTCTCCCTTACCAAACTGGTTGATGTTCAAGTCTCTAATGACACTCCAAAGCTGTGAAGCAAAGTCCTTAATCTGATCAATACATTCACCCTATCATGAAGCAAATGATAACATAAACCCACTGCACACATTATGAGTCTATACTGTACATACATACATATGCATATACATAGAGTAGTACATATATCAGGACATTTACATGTACATACATCAGTACATACAGCATTACATA